AAGCCATGAGGCACGGCCAAAAAAAAAAAAAAAAGAATACAGACAAGGAGCAGTGAAAGAGAAAGACAGCCCCACCCTGCCCTCACACTAAGGGGGTCTTTTCCCATCCACTTCTCCTTTCCCCAGCCCCTGTGTGTCCCAAGGACAAAAAGACAAAGGGAGAACTGTCAACTTTATGGACTGAGAGCTTAAAAGCAGCTCCTCCCACCCCGATGCCCAAACAAAACCATCCCTCATCCAAGGGCAAGAGAAGGGGGCATTACACAAAAACCATACTGGCGATGCAGCAGTGCTAGGGACTAAGGAGTTGGGGGTGCAGGCTGGAAAAGCCAAGCCCAGGGAAAGACATAAAACTTACGAAGGGTGGTGGCATCATGGGGGGCCCCGGTGGGAAGGGGGCAGGCGCTGCTGGGGGCCGGGGACCAGAATCGGGAACCGACTGTTGAGGGAGAGAAAAGTCATAGGACCCAGGATGGGCAAAGAGATGGGCTTTTGCAGAAGGGAAGCAGAGGGGTGAGGATGAAAAAGGAGCAAAAGTTCAGAGGAAGGGTCTCCAAGCCCATTTTCCTGCCCACCCCCAGCTCTGAGCCCTGGGTAGCTCTGCTCTCTCTTCTGCTAGCTCAGAGCCAGCTGGCTGAGCTCCTTCAATGTCATCTTTATTTTGGAAGTTTCCACTTTGCCAAAGCCAAGAAAAGATGGAGGAGGCTCTACTACAGGCACAGATGGGCTCTTCCCAAGGCTTTTCACCCACCCTCCTGCCTGTGGGCAAGGCTGTGCTTCCCTTAAACCAGGCAAACAGAGGTCTCTCATCCCCAAAGTACTCAGGGAGGAAGTGGCCTCTTTTCCTGTTCGCCTACCTGAATTCACCCAGTACAGAGACTCAACACAAAGGTCTCTAAACATAGTCACTAGTCCTTCCTAAGTACTAGTTTCCCTAACTCTCCTCTCTTCACTGCCAGCCCTCTCCCCTAAATGGCCTCATCTTTAGTCACTCACTCACTCTGACATCTTCCATTCCCATTCCCTCCCTCTTCTCTTTAGCTTTACTCCCCAGCCCCCGCACTCAGTGGCCATCACCTCCCCTACAGATTCTGCATTCACATCCCAGTGCATAAGGCTTTGAACAGCCTAGGTCTCCCTGTCCTACACCTAATGGCTAGCCACATCACCCCACTTAGCTCTCAGAGTAATTATCACTTGCTCTAAAAAGCCCTCCTGACTCTATTTAAAGCACTTCCAATTTATTGTGATCCCCTCTTTAGTTTCCTTACATATACAATTTCATAATTATTATGTTTGCTTGGATATGTTTCCCCTTACCAGAGAATAATAACATTCCACGAGGGCAGAGATTGTATCTGACTTGTTGAAAGCTGGATTCCTGGTATCTGCCGCAGTGTCTGGCACATAATGGGTACTCAACAAATATTAAGTGAATGAATGAACAAATGAAGGAACAAATCCTCTTTATATAGAACCTTCTGATTCTAAAAATTCATCCTATAGATATAGCCCTACATGTGTGTACAAGGTTTTCAGATCAGCATTATTTGTAAAACCAGAAGACTATAATGGCCTAAATATCAGCAAGGAACTATGGAATTTTACACAAACATAAAATGGAATACTATGCAGTCATAAAGAAGAATGAAGAGGCTCATTGTCTTGATAGGGAATAATCTCTAAGATACATAAACAAGTGGGGGGGGGGAGCAAAGTGCAGCAAAGTTTTATTACTTGTATAAAAATTGGAGACAAAAGATGACACACAAGAAATGAGAACGGGGACAGGTGGAAAGGAGAATTCTGTTTGCCCTTTTGTAACTTTGAATATGACTATATTTACCCTTTCAAAAAAATTTTTTAAAGTAAACTAGGGCACAGAGATGCAGCTAAAAGGCTCTGCCCTTCCTCCTCTTTGCTTGGAAGGTGGGGGGTGGTAGGGAGGAGTCCCATAGAAAGGTGGGAGCTGGCTCACTGCTGCCCAATTTCCCTACTTTCCCAATTATCCCTATGGTATGAAGGCTCAGCATTTAAAAATGCTTCTAATCTCTACTTTTCGCAATATCTGTACTTCCTCTCTTCCCACCCATCCTGTCCTAAGAAGAGAAGGAAGGGTAAGTCAAACTACTCCAACATGGATCACCTTTTCTCAGGGATCACATACTCTAAGCCCTGTATTCAGACCTGTTCCTGCCCCCTGAAACTTTCTTCCACGTGGAAGTCAGAAACCAATCAACATGGGAGGAAATCCAATTCTCTTTGCCACACTTTCCCACCCAAGCTGCCTGAGAATCCTCTCTAACCTTCCGGATGCTACGTAACCATCTTTGGGTCCTCCCAGGCTCCAGGGTCGCCCATCTCAGAGACTGGTGCCACCATTCATACAGTTGTTCAAGATAGAAATCTGTGAGTCATTCACCACACCTCCTTCTTTCTTGTCAATACATCAATGAGTCCTGTTAATTTTACCTCCTAAAGATTTCTTGAATCCATCTATTTCTCTCCGTTTCCTCCTCCACCCCTACCACCCCTCTTTTTTCATCTGACCTACCACAGTGGCCTCTTGACTGGTCTCCTGACACCCACTCCAACCTCAGGACACGCATGTTACTCCCCTGCTTAAAACTCTTTAATGGGTCTGGGAGGCTGTGTCACGTTTGCTCCCCAACTGCCTTGCCTGCTTCACCCATGCTGAGCTCCTTCTCTCAATCCTCCCACCTCAGACATCCACCTCTGCCTGGGGCAATCTTCCTTCCAAGCCCACACAACTCGCCTACATATCCTT